CAAATGCATTGCGGAAAGCCTGACTCGGTGGTCTGCTGTAGTGACCAGAAGGACATGCGTGATCGATCTGTCCGGTATTCCGAACGCAGCCCGCACCCACTATCGACTCAACGGGTCAGCACATAATCCGTGCGCGAGCATTGGGGGCGGGGGGCTAGAGGTCAGGCCCGTGCGCATAATTAGACTTGCAGCAAACGTATGTTGGCGCCCCCGCACCGCCACGCACGCTAATTAACCCGCCGACAGTCTTGGCTACCATCTTGGCCCGCGTTGTCTGAATTTTAATAAACACTCACAAGACTTTTTTTCAGTCTGAGGTCAAGGTTATCTTCTCTCCTAGTACATCTTTAAACGTCTATAGAAAGTTTGGGATTGACAAGGGCAACTGAAAAATTATATCCTGCCCATTTTGGAAGTAGAGCAGAACGTTCGTTGCACTCTTTTGGCACTCGAGACCAAAAACGTGCACCATTAAGTACCTTTGTGTTCTAAGCTCTATCACAGCAGGATTTGGGTTTACTAAGGGCATTCTTCGTTGTTCTGTTCCTTGGTTCCGCATTTGAACAATAAACTGCTTCAGTAAATGTGAAGAAGGAGCAAAAAAACTAAAAAGTCAGTTTCTCGCTGATACAATTTACCTATACCTTTTTAAACGACTATATTTACGAGCTAGCAGGCTACACTGGAGCCTCGAATAACGAGTTTAATCCGTTCCGGCACCGAGCTCGTCATATAAAACGCTCGTCTTGCGAAACGTAGCCAATCAAACTGCATCAGTTCACTGATTGGCTGCCGGCAACCGAGGACCCACGCCCCGAGGGCAAGACTCAACGCCGAACACAGGCACACACACGCGCGCTGAAAATTCGTTGACTGAGCGGAAGCTCGTCAATCGAGACAAATATTCTGCTAATGGTTCGCTTGTTAGCTGAAATGCTCATAGATGGGGCTGCTCGTCACCCGACGCTCCAGTGTACTTTACTTGTGGCATGAGCTTCCATGAACTGCCCATAGCGTCCCAATCCCCCTTCATCGTTTTACATGATAGATTTCACAGTCAATATTTTTGTCACTGTCATAAGCATCCTCTTCATCATCAATATTTTCCTTCACCCACATAGAAAGCAATGGGAAGACTAAATTTTACGCCCATTTTTCGCTAAATTATCTTGTTATCTCTGCTCGAACTGCTGGCTGCATGTCAACGGCCATCCAATAAATTACACTTACTCTTGAAGGATATTTAAGTGCAAACTCCGTTAAAAGACTATCTTCAAACTTAATTCTACGTGTTAGTTTATTTACTCCTTTCATTTTACAGACATGCTTTCCGTACATTTAAGACTTCAATTTTCTCAATTAGAGCGATTTTTCACCTTTTCGGAATCTTTGACCCTTCGAAAAAGTTGGCGTTTCTAAGTAATGTAACATTAATTTATAAATTTTACTGTGCCTTCTTTTTACGAAAAGCCGTTTCTTATGAAATTCATGAAATTTCATGAGTTAAGAAAGCTACTGTAATTACTACCGACTCAACCGCTTCCGTTATCCTCATCGTCGTCATTCTTGCCCCTCGCAACCACTGCATGCACCATTTCACCACAATCGCTATCGTCGCCGTAGTCACCATTATCCATACCACTATCTTGAGTGACTCCCGCCTCTTTATATTTTCTTTCTGAGTTGAACCACTTTGCTTCGTCTGTGGTCATTCATAAATTAGTACTTTATACTTTTAAAAAACAGAAATGACATTCTGACCAGTCGGACTTTTGGGTGCTTTAGATTAGTAAGCATAGGTAGATTTTGAAACATCGAAAAAAAGTATTTTTCTCCTTTTCTTTCAGTTGTGGGTGCGGTGCCTGAAGACCTTCTTTCCGCAGAAGATGTCACAAGCCGCGAAAGGCTCCTAAATCTCCGATCAGTCTCCAAGCGAAGACTCCGCCGACTGCAACAGAATGGCTTTCTCTCGCACAAAACCATGTCAAAACGAAATCGCCATTTATACCCCGTGCCCAACAAGTTTGAAAGGCCCAGCCACGCATCGCGAAGGTCACGACATAGACGCAGCCCTCTTGAACTTCGATCCACCGATGTTAGCACAACAGTTACGACCACAGTTGCTGCCGCAACATCCTCTGGGGTTACCATAGCGTCTTCGAGTGGAATGGTTTCAGCGACAACGGAGACGAATTCTGCCAGAGGCGAGGTTCGCACAGCCTTACCCAAGGCGACAGCGACAGTTCATCGTCTGGCGATCCGATCAAACACGATTGTTGTGGAGGACGGTCTCGTTCGAGCTCGATTGCGTTATCTGATCCAGCTGCACCAAGCCATCCAGGGCGTACACAAATTAGTCTTCGAGATTCGCATAAATCCGGATTTTCGACCAGTCTATGTTGGGTGAGTAAATACTTGCAACCTTGCCCCCCCTCCTCCTCCTCAAACTTGTTTGTCGCCGATGCCTACCAAATGTACACGCCGACATGAAAGTTTTGGTGCTGCAAGTTGACCGGATTTGAAGCAAGACAGAATAGCAGAATTTATTCGCGCGAATAAATTTCGAG